TTAGGTATTTTGGTACAAAATTTAAACAAATGCTAGTTTTTTGCTTCTCAAAGCTGAACCATTATTGCCACAGTTCCTATGGGCCCAGAATAAAACAACCTGTTTCTTTTTCTTTGATCACTGAAGCAATAATGATATAATAAAAAAGAGGAAAAAATCTGTGCTGGAGTCAAAGAAAAAGAATGTGGGAAATGGTTGGTGGTGAAGAAAAGCAAATGGAACTACTGAGGAGGGAACAATACTGAAGAGAATAAGCAGGCAGTGATAAGTCTATTACCTACCTACATAAGGAACAGCCAGTAAAGTATGACTCCCCTGCATTGAGGGGAAAGGGAAAATACAGGAAAATGACCAATTTGGCTTTATACTGGCCATAATTAATTTCCAAGGTAGGTGGATGGTTAAGAAATATAATAAACAGACAAATAATCAGTTCAGACTGAGCATCAACCTAACTCTATTGTGAAACCAGTGTAATTCAATTGGAATTTGTTAAGTCAGTTTTGGAAGCAGCATGGGAGTATCCGTCTCCATTCTGTCACAATTCAGACTCTTGATGTGTTGCAGACTAGATCTTAGACAGCTTCTGTTAGGTCTCCAGTTAGACCAGATCAAGTGACACTTGCACCTTCTCTTTCTCATTTTCTTCATTGAGGTGGGGAGAATGAAGAAGCTTAAGTTTGGTGAAATAGTGCTCACCAAAGCAATGATCTTTGTGGTCTTCAAAGCAATTGCTCAAAGTTGCTAATTTGAGGAATTTCCATTACTCAGTTGTACAGTTGTAGCTTGGTCAAGAGCGTGGAATTCTAAAATTCAGAAGGTCAGAGGTTCCTCATCCTTCTCCTATCATATGTTTAGTTTGTCTCAAGGGCAACAAAATATGTGATGCTATAAGATCCTGAAAAAACAATGACCGAATTTCCTTTCTCCCCCCCGCCTCATCCTAATGGCATATACAGCCATAAGACAATCTCAGTTCAGATGGCAGAGGAATGGGAAATAATGTTTTTAATCTTTTCTTTTACATCATTTTTCTGATCCAAATTGCTTCTACTCAGAGCATTTCTGGCCCAATAAGGGAAAACATATATAGATGATTTCTGTGTCTTTTCATCTTAACAATATAAGATTCTATGGAGGAGGCAATTTAGAGAGAGAAAATATGGGAGGAGTATATAAGCTCCTTCCTCAATATCAATAGGCCCATTCTGAATCTATGCCCTAACAATGACATTTAGTATTTTAAATATCCAAATCCAATTCTAGATCTCTGTGTAATATGTAATATAGCCTTAGCCTAGGAGTAATATATCTGCATCTATTTGAAAATAGTACCTCTAATCATTATTCTATAAAAAAAAGTCAGAATTGAAATATCCATTATGTAAATTAACTTTATCCAAGCTGTATCAAGTTCAGGACTTTCTGTGATAAAAAATAATCAATGTAAATGTTTAGTAACATTTAGGATGCCACTATTAAATATTTAATTAATATACCTTTGTTCAAGCCATTGCACACTTAACTAGAATCACAAAATAAATATCTACAGCTACAAAACTATTCTGTTATGTTCTTTATATTTCTATTGTTCTCTAAAATAGTCAGGATCACCATAGGTGGCTATATAAGTCATTTAAATAAAAAATAAATATTCTAAATTAGGATATCTATTAGTGTAGACACATTAAAGTAACGAACCTGTTGGTGTTGGGGAAGCCAACTATGTCTGTTTTATTTCACAGAAATTGATAGAAATATGTATGAGATACCTGGCTGACATTAGCTGAACTGCTTCAATTGTAGAGGCCAAAGAATTTTACTTGACAATTATGTATCAAATATGTAAGAGAAACTGGAGAAGTATTACACTGCCAACATGCATCAGATGTTATAATCTTCATCCTAATTTTCATTTTAGAAATCTCCTTTCAATTGCCAAAAAAAAGTTGAAAAAATAGTTCTTAAATCTTTTTTTCATGTCACTTATATTTTTACCCCACATTTGTCAAAAGCTATCGGAATAACTGAGTATAATATATGGTGTTATATAGGAGTTTAGTTTTAACAGATGTTTCTCATTGCTTGAAGCTGTAGAACCAATCCTAAAGCAGGAATAACAATTGGATCTGGTGTGACTGCAGAGCATAAATCTTCATGATGAATTTATTCTGTATGACTCAAAACTTCAAACTTTCTGATGCAGTCTAAAATTTAACCTAAAATTGTATACTTTTTTGCCTGCATGTAGATATAGGTTGATAATGAAATATAGCACTTTCAGAGAATAGTTGACAGAGGTCAGTCGCTTCCTCTTGCATTCCTTCAATCTGAGGGAAGCAGGGAACAAGAAGTTCTGACACCACACATGGTTCTGTGGGAGATGTAGGCTAGGAATAACTACTAAGAGATGTTGATGGAGAAAAAGACAGTCCTTGATTTGGCCTGGCAAACTTGCAGTTGCCTCTGTTTTGAACAAAGTCTCTCCCTGGCTTTCTCTTAATTTTGTCCTTAGTTTCTGTTGTTCCATTTCTCAATCAGTCATTTATGAGCAGTACTGGAATTTATAATCCAGGGCACAAAAATTTCTCATTCCTTTCTGTTTTGCAAGATTGTTGATATTTAACACGATTTGACAGATTGCTTTTTTTAACCAAACAATTCTCTGGACACAGAGAACACTAGACACTAGAGGCTAGTCTATGGAAGAGCAAAAGAAGGACAGCTGACCAACCACATCTTTGCACAGGAATTTGTCTACTAATGAGAGCTCTTTATTTCAGAATGGAATAGCAGAAAAACATCAGACATTGATAATTCTTTGTTCTTTGTTGAGTTGAAAGGGCATAAGTGCCATTGAGCTTATTATTAACAGCTCTTAGATGGAGGCACTCCTTTTAACCAGTTCAGCAGCCTTGCGGTAACTATAACTGTTATTTCTTTCAGGAATAATTATTATTTATTTCCCTAATTATTTCTGCTCTGGAGAATTCTGGGGATACGTTATCTTGAGCTTCTTATGTCTATGCAAATCAGCAATAATAATATTATAACATGTATGTAATGAATTCTGTCTTCAGAAACTTTATCCTTCACAATTTTTACAATGATCCTATAATCCAATGGAAGATCTGAATCAGCAATAACTTTCTGTATTTTTCTATATTTTCTATATCACAGGATAATTAATTTGCTATACCAGTTTGTAATAAGCTCAAAACTGATCTATCCAATTGGGCTGTAATACATACTTCGAAGTGTAATTTATCTACCTGTAGTAATGTCTGAATTGGTTAACATGATCCTTTTGCTGATCTTGGAGAAACGTATGATTAACTGATTTCTATGCTACTTAATTAATGCAGAAGTTTATTTAAATATTAATTCATAATTTAATGTCTAATTCTGAAGGGAGTCATAGAGAGATTTGGGCCCAGTTCTGAAATTTCTATCTTTGAGCCAAAATCTATTTCTTTTTATCCTCAAAAGGTACACACTCTATGCGAGTTGCAACTTTTCAGTATCAATATCATTTCTACTTAAATATCATCTTTCTATAGAAAAAAGATGCAAAAGGGTTATTGGGGGAGGGAGTCCTTGGTGCTTCTGAGCTTGGTTGTTTTCTTGTAGACATTTCATTACCCAAACTAGCTAACATCATCAGAGCTAGTCCTGATAGCACTGACGATGTTATCTAGTTTGGGTAAAGAAACAGGAAAACAACCAAGCTCAGAGAGCATTGAGGACCCCTCATTTCAATCCTAAACGACAGATATTCTCCTTTATTAGCAAAGTGGTTAATCATACAAAAGTGCTGAAGGCAAATAATTTTTCATTGACACTTTTGCAAATGCTGAGTGCTTGAATATTGCTAAGGTAAGTAAGGTAAGTCATAAATGACAGGCTGCAAGGCATAGAGTAGAGCAATATTAAAACTTAATATTTGGATCTCAGAATCTGGCATGTATGTAACAGAGTATAGCAACAGTAATGCCTATGTTTATTATGCAAATAAACTTGGTGGAATCCTAGGTGTTCTTTTGAAACCATCAGTCAGAAGATGCTGCACATTCTGCAATTTAAAGGATTGCCTTAAATAAAATGGATTTATCTGTCTTTACAAATCCCTTACACTAAATGATAAATACAATTCATTGTTTATGTTCAATTTTACCAGAGAGAGAGTTATAGCACAACAAACGTGATCTGTTCATTTGTTGTATAGCAGACATATGGCTGAGAATAATCTTTCAGCGAACATCAGTAATACAACTCTATTTTAGTTGACTGCTGGAATGAAAAACAGTGTGGTTGATGGCGTAGGACCACAAGGTAGGAATCGTTAATTATTTTTATAAAATATCCCATGAACTCCAACCTACGTGAAACATACAGCAACTATGCAAAAACGGTTCTGACTATAATAAGAAACTGTTAATTTCGTCTATTCTCAAATCCGTACCTTTGAGGAAGAGACAAAATTTCAGTTCCTCCTACCTAAGAGATCAACTCAGAAGTTCAAGAATATTTACAAGGTTACTTCTTGGACTGCTGCGGAGAAATGATTAATTTCTACGCCGGGCTCTCTTTTTTTCCTCAAAACGATCCTACCCAGAATGCATAGCGCAATTCGGATGAAGCTGAGCGACCAATTATAAGACATTTGAAGCTCACTTGAAAGCCGAGCCGACCAATCGAAAGCGAATAAGTAGGCGGTGACAGGCGATTTGAACGGGAGGTGGGAAAAAAAAAACAACTGAAGTGTTTCCACTAAGCGGTTGGGGGCGGGGGGGGGAGGGAGGGCCGAGCGGTGTTTTCCTGAAAAGTGGCCGATTTGCCTGGCGAAGGAGCGATTGAGCGTCCTTGTGAATCTGCTCCCTTTTATAAGGGGATTGGTGGAAGACGCTGTTCTCAGAGTTCGTTGGATCTTGTGATAATCCTTCCTTTTCCAACAGCCGCGAGATCGAAGATGGCAAGATCTGGTGAAGAAGTTCAGTGACGGCCTAGAATTCAGTTACCATTTCCAGATCTCGTCGGCCGCCGAAACAGTTCACGGATCGCCTTCTGAACACAGTACTCTCCGTTCTTGTTGAGAGCCCGAGTCGGTACTGAAACTAGCTGTTGTAGTATGGGAAAAGCGGGGTGGCTGTTCGGACAGACAGACAGACTTGAAGAAGTTTACTCGGGAATAGGCGTGGTTAATATTGTTATAATTAATAATAGCTGAACATCATGTTTCAAGTGCTCAAAATCTGTCAGATCTACTTATGAAATAAAGCGATTGTATGCTTTTTAGTAGATCTTAACGTTTACGGATGCTCATAGAGAAAAACTGGGATCGCTAGAAGGTCGAAAACGACTTTGGTCACATATAATCAAATGCTATTTATTTTTGGTCGGGTTGTCTGCAAGTTCAAAGTTAATTTGAAAAAAGGTGTTAGACTTTTCCATTAGGCCAACAATCTGGAAGACAAAATGTTGGGGCATTCGAAACTCCACAATTAACAAAAATCTGACTACTGTATATTCATTTTTTCATTTTGCTTTTTTTCTGAGCCTTTGTTTTTTTTTATAAAATGTTCCAAGCAAGTTAGGAAATTACCTTGGGGCAGCATCATTCTTTTTTTTTTTCTTTCTTCTTTGTACTTGTATCACTTTCTTGATGCTGAAGCACACTAGGATGAAAAAGCAATATGGCATCTCTACATTCTTTTTCTTACATAGCTTGTTTAAAAAATGTTGGAATTATAATTTTTCATTACATGATGCTATTTTCCTAAGCTTTTGTTTCTGACCTAATTATTCCAATCTGTCCCTTAAATTAAAAAGGGGTAAAGTGACGGGAATTAGGATTACTAGGAAATAGCTTGATGTACATGACCTGAATCTTTAAGGTGAATGTGAAGAAACTCCTTACTACAAAGTCATCAGAAGTGATTGCTCTTTTCAGAGAAGACAGTTCTTATTAAAACCCACATTTATAGTCTTGCAACAAATGAATGCATTGATTAGCCACTACAATCAATCAATGAATGTCTTTTGCTCTTAATCCCTTGTGACTGAGCTGAGTTGTAAATTTGTTGCCTTAGTAGCATTAAAGCAAGCAAATTTATTGTCCTTTCTCTTGGGCATTGAACTTCAAGAAGGTTGTTGAGACTTTGGAAAGAATTCTGAGAAAAGCTATGTGGCTAGATATTATTTACTCATTCTGTATTTTGAAATAGAATTGCACTCATTCCTGAATAAGTGGCAGGCATCTGTCTGTCTATATCTTATCTATCCTATCTATCTATCTATCTATCTATCTATCTATCTATCTATCTATCTATCTATCTATCTATCTATCTATCTATCTATCTAGTATAGATTTGTGTTGTACTATCCAGTTGGAGAGACATTTCAAGAACTCTTCATAGTTTCTCAGGTTTAAGAAAGGTATGAATCTAATATCAACATGTTCCCATCTTGTCCCTGACACAGCATTCTCTAATAATGGTGCTCATACCAGCTGAAGAAGGCAATGTAACGGTGGTGGTCCGAGTGCGGCCACAGACTCCACGAGAGCAAGAAGGAAACCGCCAAAGCACAGTGCAGGTGCTCAGTGACAGCATGTTAGTATTTGACCCTGAAGAATCAAGCCTGCTGGGCTTCCAAAGTCATGAGTCTGTTTCCCAGAAGAAAGGCAAGAATATGAAGTTTATTTTTGATCGGGTGTTTGGAGAAATGGCTACCCAAGCAGAAGTCTTTGAGAACACAACTAAAGAGATTCTGAATGGTGTGCTAAGTGGCCACAATTGCTCTGGTAAGGAATCTATTTTCCTGGCCTCACAGTATGACAGCAGCACAACAAAAAATAGCATGTTGCCTAACATAAAAAATAAGAAAAAGGAAACAACTTTCTACTAATACTCATTGAACTAAATTTTAAGCTTCCATTAATCATATCAGATTGTGTCAGTCTGATAACTTTGGCCTCCATCAGCCTGTAAATGATGGAGATTTTAATCTAACACAGGTAAGATATAAATCTAGTAAAAAATTATGTCAGTTGGTTTCAGTTTAATATTGAAAATATAGCCAGTTCTATTTCAAGCCTCTTTTCAATACTGAGCAAAGGTATTTTTTGTAACACTTGTAATTAACTCCTTGCACTTTAGAAAAGAATATTTGTAATTCTTGGGATCCTTAGTGTTCTCTGAGCTTGATGGTTTTCTTGCAGATAACTAGATAACATGTATGCTAGAAAGTATTAGGGTTTGCTCTTATTTTAGTGGCTTGCCCTGTCAATGTTAGTGGGAGTGTTCTTGGTGATTCCTTGATTAGGCTGTTGTTATTGTTATCTTGTTTGTCTGTGCTAATAATTGTTTGATTGGGTTATTGTTTACTTGATTGGTATTAATTTGGGTCATATGGATATTGATTGTTGGTGAGGATGTGTTTTGGTCTTTTTGTTTCCTCTTGGACTTTTTGATTGTCTCTTTTGAGTAGTATATAGATGTTTATCTCTATGTGCCTTTTGATAACTGATTTGTCCAAGTGCCAGGTCTCCAGGAATTGTTTGGCATTTTTGAACTTGGCTTGATTTAGGAAACTCACAGTTTCTCAGTTGAAACTTGTTGAGTCTGTCCATGTGTTGTGATATTAAGGAGTTTTCATCATGTCTTCTGACTGCTAGTTGGTATTCATGGATGTAGTCTTCTACCTATTGGTTTTACATATTAGTAGTGGCTGTTACAGTCCTTACACTGTAGATTATAAATGACTCCTGTTTTTTTCTTCTGGGGCTACTGGGTATTTTGGTTTACTTATGATGTTTTGGAGGGTTCCTTGTACTTAATTAGAAGAAATGCTAGCCAAAAGGTCATAAGCACAATTATGCTTTATTTCTTCCATTTCCAGGTAGATGCTGAGAATGTGTACATTTGTTACACAATACAGCAGATGTTTCCTTAGGAATAAAACACAACTGTTAAAAAAATTAATTTAAAAACATAGTTACAATCCATTGCCCATTTATGTAAGAAGAATTAATTTTAGGTACCATAACTCATGGATCTTTCTTGTTTTGGTTCTTAAAGTTGATTACTTCTGCTCTTGAAAGTTTGTTCAGCAATATTGTCAAAACTTCTGTGATTGCTAGGAGTTGAAAACTACTTGACGGCACATAATCAAAATTAGGATCTAAAATCCAGATTCTTGGTGTTTGAGTTTGTAGAGGAAACCTAATTAAGTTGGGTGAAAAATAAAGTTTGCTGAAAATAGATTGAAGGAAAGAAAGGGGAATGCATATGTGCTCTTTCAGGTATTTTGGTCTCAGGGCCTGGGTGGTTTTAGCCTCTTGATTCTGAAGCATCTTAGGATAATATGGGTTATATTTGGGAAATGTCTCTGAATGATTGCCTTCCTTCTTTTTCAGTATTTGCATATGGTGCAACAGGAGCTGGTAAAACATATACCATGCTGGGATCAGAGACGGAACCTGGTATCATGTACCTCACCATGAAGGAGCTGTATAAAAAAATAGAGGTTAAAAAGGAAGAGAAATTCTGTGAGGTGTTCATCTCCTATCAAGAGGTATTCATTTCTAGGAACTTCTTCCAGAGAAACGTTGTTCTATTTTGTTACATTTTCTGGAAGTGTTCATGCCGTCTATAAACTGGTATTCTAGTTTAACAAGTGTAGATATGCACCAGTGGCATATATGTGCACATAATCATTTATTCAGTGTGGGTTTTGATCAAAAGTGTTGCTTTTATTGGGGAAATGATCAATGGGTAGATGAATACTGCATTAGATACAGTGTTGTATCTGAAATAATGGTGGAAACGGGAGTGTTGGAAATATCAAGGCTGCACAATTATTTTATTTTTATTTGAAGACTGGAGGATAAGGTGTTAGAATAGCATGCTGGCCCTGAAGATGCTGCCAATTCTTCAGAATCTGTTTTTTTCCTTCTGAGTTCATGCATTATAATAATGTGCAGGATGTCAGGGCCAGGAAAATATTTCAGTTGTCATTTCTGCCATTTACCTTTTATTTAGGAGAGTTATCAGAATCATTCATTTAAAATTATTTAATTGTATGTATTTGGGATGATGAAACTTTTTATTTAATTTTTGTATACCTACAAACCATACTTATGAAGATAAACACAGATAAACAATCTATCATCACAGGATCACATAAAAAGACCTTATGTTTATGTAGAATGATTTACTCCGCCTTGCCCAACAAAAGTGAGAGCTGAGAGACCATCTGGAATAATATGGTATATAGCAGGGATCCCCAACCTTTTCGACGCCGCGGCCCGGTTCCGGCGTCAGCTGGGCGCCGCCATCTTTTTTTGACGAAAAATCACTTCCGGTGACGTCACCGGAAGTGATTTTTCGTCAAAAAAAATGGCGCCAGCGCTTCTGGTGAGCTTTTTCGGGTAGAAATGGCTTTCTACCCGGAAAAGCTCACCCGAAGCGCTGGCGCCGCCATCTTTTTTGACGAAAAATTGCTTTTTTTACCAAAAAAAGATGGCGGCGCCCAGCAACCAGCGGCCCGGTAAGGCTTGTTCCGCGGCCCGGTACCGGTCCGCGGACCGGCGGTTGGGGACCCCTGGTATATAGTATGAAAAGCCAAAATATGTAGGAATAATTGGTGGAAAGTAGGAGTCATCATCTTAAATGAATAGAAATCCTTCTACCAATGCAAAGGGTAGCCATTTTTGAAGAAGTGGTTTGACAAGTGAAATTTTTTGAAGTACATAAATTTATATAGTTAAATGTAGCTCTCTGGTTATCTGGTGATCCCTTTCTAATCATCTAAACATTGATTAGATTAATTAATCAACTAATATATTTTTTTTGTGCTGTTCTATACTAAATGACAACTATATAGGTTTTTGTAGAGATTGCTCAAAGAAGAGGGAGATGGTGGTTTAAAAACTGGTCCTTTTTGTTTGTGCTCTTAATTCAGAGTCTGACATGCTTTTGCATCTCTGCACAGTTATAGCTACAATCCTAATCAAATCCATGAGTAAATCCAATTGAAAGATTGCATTTTATACACATGCTAAAACCGGAAGCAGCCGTTTTTAGTCAAAGCCTATTAGGGTTCATCATCTATTTAAGGAAAAGTTTGGAAAAATAAAAATAAATTTAGCTGCTATGCTATTAGATAAAATATAGAATAGAATTCCATTATATAGAATGCCCATTGAAATTATTCACTTCTAGGTTTGCAGTGTCAATATATAAACAAAAATTTGTTAGAATATAGTCATTTGGGGATGTTGTTTAGTTTTAGTTTACTTTATTGTCATTGCACCTCGTACAACGAAATTAAATACCATCTTCAATGTACATTATGACTATGAAAATAAACATAAACACACATCCTTCACATTCTATATATTGAATTGAAAACCTCTGATATTGCATTAATATTGTATTGTACTTTTTACTCAGTAAGTAATCAGTTTTAGATTTTTAGGTGCCTGTCTGTATTTTCCTCAGTGCTCATATCAACTATCTAGATTCCCCAAACACTAATCACCTAATTTATTTTTCATGGATTTAAGAAGCACAATTGGCTGGAATAATAATTGCCAAGTTTCTAGTTCTTTGGATTTGGAAAAGAATGTGCCCTTGGCTTCTGCTGAAAATCTGAATATCCAAAAAGTCATTTTTTGTCTTTAAAAAAACACCAGATTGACTCCTGGCTTTTGCTTCTAGGTATATAATGAGCAGATTTATGACCTTTTGGAACCAAAGGGTCCACTAGCTATTTGGGAAGATCCAGAGAAAGGTGTCTTGGTGCAAGGTCTTTCAGTTCATAAGGTGAGTGTGATATTTACACTGTATGAACTTCAAGAATGACATGCATTTCATGAGTGAATAGTCATCCTCAAATATTCATATAATGTTGATATAGTTTCAGCCCTGTATAAATTGCTATACAGACCACAGTGATTTGTTGCTTGCTCAGAGAGCTTTACTCCACATTGTAGTTAAGGAATGGTCATGAAAAAAGGGCCAGACAGAATTAGATGGAAGTAAAGAAGTAGATAAGTAAAGCTGAAAGGAGGAGGGAAACGAGCAAAAGTTTGAAGAAGGAGTTTCTGAATAGGAATTGGCAGAGAAAAGTGAAGGAGCTAGGTTGGACTTAATGTTAATTTTCACATGGCTGACCAGAGCGAGTCAGCCAGAAAGTGTTGCTGTAATTTTTTACATGTGAAATTTGGTGCTGAATAATAAACTCAATAGTCCAGTTGCTGCAGATTTGATTTTTCTTCAGCTCTCATTGGCTAAGCTATTAGGTCTTCCTATGAATTAAGATTTTGATGCTTCTTAGACTTTATTCTTTCAAATGACAAGTTGCAGCAATATACAGCTTGCTGTATTGCACACAACAAAATGTAATCAGAACTATTTGTCATGTATTGGTCATGTAAGGAAGTCTCTGGGCTGCTTCCAAAAACATCTCTCTCTATATATATATCCTTCTGTGGATGTAACTATTTATCTCTTTGTAAAGGGTGTAGCTGCAAAGAGTGTCTTAGCAAATCTTTCTTGCCCTTCATCCCTTTAGCCAAAATCTGCTATGCAGGTTCTAGAAATGCTGAAGCAAGGAAATCTGAACCGTACACAGCACCCCACAGACATTAATGCCACTTCTTCACGATCTCATGCAATCTTCCAGGTACGTATAGCAGGATTCATCAGAAATGCTTAATAGCTTCTTATGAGACATTGTAATTAGGGAAAAATCTTCATTAGTATTATTAACCCATCAGTCACATTTTCTCCTTCAAGAACATTACCGTAGGATCTCCCAGCATATGAATTCTTTGAGGCATCAGACTGGCTATTATTGGAAGTAGAGTGCTGGATAAAATGGATTCTTAATCATGTACTTCTACTCCCTTCTTTTTCTATTGAAAGAGGGGGGAAGGGATTTTTTTTTATGTATACCCTTTACTTATTTTATGGGACTCAATATTTGATTAGCCAAAGGTAGGATAGTGAATATCTACTTTCCTTTCAGCTAATGACAAAGGTAATTACATTGATTGGTTGTGCTTGAAAATGATAGAGCACCTCTGAATTTTTTATAATGCCTTGCCTTTCTGCTGAAGCAGAGGCATATATTTTTTAGAAATTGAGACTTGGGTGATCCACTTCCTCTTTCCAAAAAGATTAGCTTTAAAGTACAGAAATATGAGAAATACTTGTCATCTACCTAATGTTTTCTGTGGGAGTCTGATATATTGGAGTGGCCCCTGAATGGAAAATAGAAAATCTAGAAAAACCATAAAACCCACAGTCAGGCAGTAGTTTTATTACTAGGAATGAACACGTCCATTATATAGAGAATTATTTTTCAAGTTCTGCAGAACTGAATAGTACAAAATATATAAGAGTGAAGCAAAGAGGAAAGACAAATCAGAACAAAAATTCTGCCTAGTCAGCCAGATCAGCTGAATCAACTCTGGCGATCAATGGGGTGACAGATGTCATGGCCAGATCGCCCCTCACATTCATAGAAGGGAAGAAGAAAGATAAATCAGAGCAAAAATGAGGAAAGATGTTATAGCAATGCATTCAAATAGTGATTTAGTCCAATTTGAACAGACAGGCTTCTCTTGAGATTTGTTTGCTCCTTAGAAACCCAGCACTCTGGTATCTATACCAAACTCTTGTCATTTTTTTGCAGATCTGCGTGAAGCAACAAAACCTTGTAGTCGGCATGCATCAGGATCAGCTAATGGCAAAAATGAGCCTGGTTGATTTGGCTGGCTCTGAACGTGCCTCTGCTGCTAACACTAACGGAGAACGACTCCGTGAGGGTGCCAACATCAATCGATCCTTACTGGCTCTTATCAATGTTATTAATGTCCTGGCAGATGCCAAGGTAAATTATCTCTTTCTCCTCATCTGCTGCTATTTTGTCTAGACAGCATTTATAGTATAGAGACTCCATTGCTCTATATTCTTGATTCTAAATTTACACCTAATTATTCTCTCTCAAATCAGATCAAACTTTTATTATGGCCTCATATAACCAGCTATAAGAGGGAGAGGAATGGGATAGTGCAGGGGTCCCCAACCGCCGGTCCGTGGACCGGTACCGGGCCGCGGAACAAGCCTTACCGGGCCGCTGGTTGCTGGGCGCCGCCATCTTTTTTTTGGTAAAAAAGCGCTTCTGGTGAGCTTTTCCGGGTAGAAAGCTCACCGGAAGCGCTGTTTCGTCATAAAAAGATGGCGGCGCCCAGTTGACGCCGGTACCGGGCCGCGGCGCCCAGCTGATGTCGGAACCGGGCCGCGGCGTCGAAAAGGTTGGGGATCCCTGGGATAGTGGAACAGTGGAACTTTAATCACAACATTACAGCAATCATTTTGACTTTTTAACTATGCTCTGCAATCATGTCTGACAGCAAGATACATTGAAAAAGCACTTCTCTTTGCCATATTTCCTCAATATAGATACCCTTCTGATATTTCCATTATTAGATTCACATTCCCTGAATATATGAATAAATGTGCAACAGCTATATTCTTTGAGGGATGGATATAATCCACTTTTATGAAATAATGTTGCTAAACTAACATCTGTAATCCTTGATAGTTTCTTGTCTTATAAATTGATAAAGATAGGGCAAGAATCTTAAGCTTCAACCCTGGGAAGGATTTTTCTCCTCCAGAATGGCAGATGATACTGTAATATTATAATGGCATGGAAGAGCCAGGTTAGTGTAGTGGTTAAAATGATCTTCTAGAACCAGGGAGATTCTGAGTTTTAATCCTGGCTTAGACATGAAAGTTGGTTGGATGACTCTGGGCCTATCACTTTCTCAGCCCAACTCAAAAGTATTATGTTTGTTCACCACCAATAATAAAGGCAGGATTAAAATCTAATAAATAAATAATCTTCTAAAATAAACAGAACAGTGTATATTTCGGATATACAATTCATGTACTCATTGGCCTTAGACGCAATAGGAATATAAGGAGGAATAGTATTTGTAATGGCAGAAGAATTATATGAAACAGTTTCCTTATATAATGTCTAAATCCTCCATTAATTTCGTTGATACACAGAGTAAAAAAACCCACATTCCATACCGGGACAGCAAGCTAACACGCCTCCTAAAGGATTCTATTGGTGGAAACTGTTGGACCATCATGGTTGCAGCTATTAGCCCCTCCGTACTTTCCTATGAGGACACATACAACACCCTCAAATATGCAAACCGGGCTAAAGAAATCAAACTTTCAGTAGGTACCAAAAGTTGCGTTTGTACTTTGCTTGATAATTATTATTTTTACTTTTGCCTCTGGATGAATCTCTTACCCATTTTATTATGTCGTTCAGTGTATCTGCTATGAATTCTTGAAAAGCTCAGAGTAATGTAAATCTTCAATTTATGGATCTCAGGAAATAGTAGTTAATATTTCCCATAATTCTACAATTCTAGGTTAAAATAACTCTTAGGAATATGTCTAAAGCATTTTCTCTCTGTAGCCCCCAGTACAGGGAGTCCTCGAATTATGAAAATTCATTTAGTGACCATTCTAAGTTACAATGGCATGGAAAAAAATGACATGACTATTTTTAACAGTTACAAAGTTGGTAGCATCCCCGTGATCATGTGCTTCGTGGCAACTTGTTTATATTTATGACCATTGCTGTACCCCAAGATCATGTGTTGCATCTTTTGCAATCTTTTTACAAGCAAAGTCAACGGAGAAGCCAGATTCACTTAACAACTAGGTTACTAAATTATCTACTGCAGTGATTCATTTAACAACTGTGGCAAGAAAGATTGTAAAATGTGGCAAAACTCACTTAAATGTCTTACTTAACAATAGAAATTTTGGAGTCAATTGTGGTTGTAAGTCAAGGACTACCTATAATTCTGTTTGAGAAATCAGAAATTCCACTGGGGATTTCCTATATATTTTAAAGCTTTATTCTAAAGCATGAGGGCTAAAGCTTCTACTAGAAGGACTTAGAATTTATTATCTATATTTTCCATAAAATACTTAAATTTATATTTTACTAGTAATTTATCAGAATATATTGAACTAAGTATATAAATGCAATTTCATTAGATGTAACCTGATGGCAAAAACTTCCAGTAAATTGTTGGAGTAAAATTAAAGTAATTAAAATAAATATTACATTAGGATTAATGTATATTTTAAGAGGAATTCCAGGGATAATTGCTATCAGTTGTTTTACACAGATAGACAAAAGAAGGAAAAAATATGTTAGACCAAAATCATTCAAATATACTGGGCAAATTTAATTTACTGTCTCTTTAACCTATAAATTTTCCAATTTTATAATTGGGCTATTGACATCTATACACTGGGTGAGAACTTTTCTGGCTATTATCATTTTGTGGCCTGTGGAGAGATCAAATTTGTAATTTCTTTGAAATCTTAACAAATTTTAGGGTACATAAACTAGAGATTTCATTTCCAGCCCTGAATGCTGCTCAACATATTTAGTTCTTAACTAGTAAGCAAGCTTTGATCCAGAATCACATGGAAAAAAATAAAATTTGGAAGAGCTGAAATCTGAAAATAGCAGGGAAGATGTTCTATTGGAATGTCTGGGACAAACAAGCAACACATTTCTTAAATCAGTTGATTTGTAATGGTTTTTTAAATATTTTAATTTTTTTAATGATAATTTACCTGTGATATGTTAACCTTAAATATTTAATTAATTCTATTGATACTACATGGAACTTTAAATTGATTTTTCCCCTTTTTTTCCCTTTTAATCTTTTCTCACCATATAAAAACTACTACATTTTTTTCTGATGGTATTATAGTAATTTGTATTCAGGCTAAAAATCTGTGTTTTATAGATATGACACTAATGACATTTGGAGCCTAGATTTGTTCCTATATTTTCTGTAATTGTACAGTACGGATGGTTCTAAGTCACTTCTTTTTTTCTCCCAATGAAAATTACTGAATGTGGTCAAGGGGCCATCTGCTTCAACGATCTTTTCAGTGTTGTACATCATGTTTATAGAATATATACTGTGTTTCCCAGAAAATAAGACCCATGTTTTGGCTTGAAAATAAGCATGAGGCCTTATTTTCAGGGGTGTCTTATTTTTTTCATCTACAGTAGGCAGTGAGTGCGGGGGCCAATGGGTTCGTCCCTAACCATCCGTCCCAACATCTACTTGCCTGCGGCTTCAAGAGGCCAATCTCAGCGCACTCCGGCATCCCTGCCTGCTGGCCCTGATGCTGCTAGGACAGTGGAGCTTGGGTCTTGCTCAGACTGCTGTTATGATTAGGCACAAGGCCGTGCGACACGTCGGGATCGCCTCCCCCCCCCCCCCCATGTCTCTGCCTGTCTGCTGAGTGTGTTGCATCTGCTACTGCTGGCCTCGCAGGGTTCTTCCCCTCCTGGCTGTGCTACTTTCAGCAGCCCTACTGGGCTGCTCCTGTCTGGCATAGGGCAACTTTTGGGGTGGAAAGGAGGAGGGAGCAATCTCTCCTCCCTCCTCCATCTGTCCTGCTGCAGGGCTGCCACGGAGCTCCTGCCCACCGAAGCAGTAGCTCACCCAACCCACTTTCCACCAGCGTGTACATATGCAGTTAAACCGAATGGGTTTACTTTGTTCTCATATAAATCATCCCCAAGGAAAGGAGGATCGGCAGGAAAATGGGGGAGGGAGCATTTTTGGGATGTGCATGTGTGCAGGGTTGGCGGGCTAATGAGCAGAGAGGGTGGGGGATCTGGTTTAGGTGAGTAGGGTGGAGCAGGGAGGCAGAATTGCGGGCACTCCTTGATTCTTGTTAGCCACCTCGATCATCATGGTTTGATTTTGCTAGAGATGTGGGAGAGAGAGAAAGATCGGAAGTGTCTGCACAATGGGCAGGCAGAGTGAGGAAAACTGAGAAAGTGATCTACAAGTGGTGATGGGGATTTTCCCACCGATTCTCCTTTCTTTGGGAATGATTTATTCGAGAACAAAGCAAACCTATTCGGTCTAACTGCATATCTTCAGGCCAGCAGAAAATGGGTTGGGTGAGCTACTGCTTCGGCGAGCAGGAGCTCTGTGGCAATCCTGCAGCAGAACAGACAGATGGAGGAGGGAATAGAGATCGTCCCATTCTCCTTTGTGCCCCAAATATTGCCCAGCACCAGGCAGCAGCAGATGGATGGAGGAGGAAGGGGCGATTTCCTCATCCCTCCCCCATCCTGCTACAGCGCCACCCTGGAGCTCCTGCCCACCGAAGCCATAGGGCGGCCAAGACCAGGGCAGCCAGGATGGTGAAGAACCTTCACAAGGCCAGCAGCAGCAGGTGCAGCCAGGCAGAGGTGGAGGGGAGCAGGCAATCCCAATGAGCTGTATGGTTTCTGCCTCAGCACCAGCCTGGGCAAGACCCAAGCTCCAGGCCTGACAGAGCGCTAACAGTGGTCACTGCCTGCTCCAGAGCCATAAGGTGACCTGCAGAAGGGAGGGGCCCTTGACTGCGAGGTTGCCTGGCATTACGGGCAGAGCCAGGGTTGGCAAGAGTGTGACGGAAACACCTCCAGGCGCCTGGAGAGGCAGAACGAGAGGCAGCTCCTGGCTCTTGCTGGCTCAGATAATCTGCAGGGCTGAGGCTCAGTAAGGTGAATGGGGAAGTGAAGGAACTGCCACACCTCAGGGATCCCTGCCTATGTTTTTGAGGGCTCACACAGTTGGGCTGCCTCCTGTGCTGGCCACAGCTACCCCCTTCTCTAGGGCTTATTTTTGGGGTAGGCTGTATTTTCAGGGAAACACTTTGTGAGGGATTGATAGAAATTTATGCTGTTTCAGACTTCAGAATCTCAAATTTTGTATTTGAACAAAATTTGTAAATATTGAATGATGTAAATTTTTGATATTCTTTTTGTACCAAAAGTGAGACAAATTCTGTTCACGGGCATTTGGCAATCTTCCATTTTCTTGGATATATTTTTCACAAATTTAATTAATTTTATTTCTCGTGTAGGTTGTTATATTTAATAGGTTCTATTTCTTTCTCCAATATGCTGAAATTCATTAGATCAACTTTGGCAGCATGGGCAATGAGTGACTTAAGCCTGGCATATTTTGGCTTGCTGATATATTTATGAATCTCTGCTGTTCTACAACATTTTCTACTTTATTGAAAATGTAGGGTGGGAGTTCCAGTTTGTGATACAGTATTAATCCCTGTATTAAGCCTTCTTGCAGTCCTCCTAATAAAATTGTTGCTTTCTATTCTTTGCCCTGGTATACAGATTAAACCTAATGTGGTAAGCCTGAACCATTCTAGCAGCAAATATGCAGCTGTTTGTGAGCAACTAAAGGCAGAGGTAAGGAGCTCTGATATTATGTCTCAAGCCCAAAAGATTTTTACTGAGGTGAGAAGTCAATGAAAGGTTTGTCTGACCTAATGCACATTTAAGACAACTTTAGCTGTTGATGCATCCATCAGAAATTTTGGGGATATTGACTGGAAAAATGTCACTTGGTAATCCATATCTAGCATCTCCAGACCGGGCTGAGAAAGATTCCTATTGCCAAATCCTTTGGCGAGTAGCAGCATAGGGCATACTGTAATACGTAACTGCTGTACTTTTGAAGAAGACTTTTCAGGGTAGAGAATTCAGCTCATTGTGAGACATGTTGGCAATACAAGGTAAAGATGCAATCTTTCTGTTAATTTAGTGTTCTAAGTGTGCTGTAGTAAATATCAGCACAAGGCTGTCCGGTTTGGTAGAATCTTTGATTCTTGTTGCTGATATCCAAGTTAATGCCTGAATTACCTACCAGCTACTTGCAACTCCCAACTGGGTTTAGCTTAAGGAGAGAAGGCATGAGAACAAACTTTATTCATCAACCTTTATCACACAGGATTATTTCAGTTAGGGCAACATGTTTGTAATGTGGATACTCTAATTTGTCTTAGATAACTCCTGCTTCACCCAAAATAAGCATACCATTTTGTCCCTTTCAGGTGGCAGACTTAAGAGGGAGGCTCCAAGCTTATGAAGAAAAAATGCCAGAACTTAAGTCCTTCCCTGTTTTGGCTCCTTGTACTTCTGAGCAGATGGAGCTCTTCAGGTGGTCCACTACCTCTAAGGCAGAGTTCCCCAACCTTTCCAGTTTTGCAAACTGGCGGGGTGTGTGTATGTGGAGGGATGGTTTTATGCAAGCAGTGAGCAAGTGCACCTGTGTACACACTCACCCACTGCTTGTGCAAGTAGGGATGTGTGCATGGATGCTCACCTATCATTTCCAAGGCCCAGTTCCAAAAGGCTCAAAGTCCAGTAGTAGGTTGCAGCACAAAAGTTGGCGACCCCTGCTTTAAGGGGAGAAAAGGTAGTAGGTAGGCAATGTGTCAGTAAATATGATCACTTCTGTGTGAGTCAATACCTTATATATTTATCTTCTGAATTCCAAACTGGAATGTCAAACACTTTATCTTTTCTTTTTACTTCACTTAAAAAGAAACAAATATCCTATTCCTATTCAGGGACAAATCCTTACATTCCAATCATAGCAATAAAAGCGATTTAAAAAAAAATAACCTCAATGATTTTAAGTATTGTGAAATCTACTTTGAGAAATATTGTTCATACTTTCAGTAATTAACTTCCTGATTCTTTGGCATAAAGAAAGAAGTACAAATAAATACTTAATATCATCCAAGGTGGGAATAGAAAGAGATAATAGATATTAAGCATAAATTGAAACTGAGAAGGAAGATTTTTTTTCCTACTATGCATTTTTTTTCTAGCATGTTATGTTCCAGACATTTTTGGCATGCCATTGCCTCTTAGATTCTCCCCGATTTCCAATATGGAGGTAATAATTTTGACTATCCCTTGCAGAGATGTTTTCAGTGCTTTGTGAAGATTGGAAGTGCTTTGAAAACTGTATTGCTGTAGAAATATTAAGCAATAAACTGTTATAATAGGATAGTACTTGAACCTTATTTAATAGGTTGAGGGACACTCACCTTCCCAACATAAATATCTGTGTTATCTCACACTTTGTTAATAAATTTGGGGTTGTATTTCATTAGCAAACCATCAACTGAACAAATTTGTGCTTTAAAGAGGGGAATGAGCAAATTGGATTGGCATGTTTTTGATTCTGTTGAAGTTAATATTAAATAATTTTTCATCCTTGCTTTTGACATAGGTCAAAAGAGACTACTTTGGATTATGGAGTGTTGCAAAAGGATGATTGCACAGAAATGGGACCTTCCCAACTTTTGAAACAAAATTGTTCTAGAAAAAGCCTCACAAAGGAGGTAAGAGCGTAAGAACTATGAGAGGAGGCTAAATCAGAGTCCAGCACATAGATAATTTATCTCAAAGTTTTTGAGAGAGTTACTTAGCATTACATTTTTATTTCAACCAAGCAGATTTAAGTGTGCCTAGTGTGTAAATGAATCCTATGAATATTTCTAAACTAACACCCAACAGTAATTGCTCCTTACTTCCTCACCCTGAAGAGATGAGAACTCACATTAATTCACATGGAAGGAAAATCTGAAATGCTGAGTTTGATTAGGTTTCTGCATTTCTCAAGAAAGAAGAAACAGTGAGTGTCAATAGGAGGGCATTAATTGAGTATAGAATATAGCATTTATCATAGTGAAGGCTTTTTTCAGGTTAAATTGGCTTATCAATTGTTTCAGCTCAGTACAGTTGCTAAAGTCCTTGTTTCACAAATCTGCCTCTGCAAATAGATTGCACCACATAGTATTTAAGGGATAAAATAAAATTACTGTATTACAATGAGTACAAATAATAGACCTGTAGGTAGCCATTTTGTTTAGTGGAAAGAAGTAGGATTCATCACAGTTTGGTCTTTCTTAGCTTATGTTTCCCCAAGCTTATTTTTTCCTCAGTTTCTTCTATTGAGAGAGAAATGGCAAAAAAGGAAAGAAAAAGCTGGCTGTTTCCACTTCTAATTTTAATCTTGCCTAGCGGTCATTATAAACAGGATAATGTGTTCTCAACAACAACAAAAACTTCTACTTCCCTTCAAGTTATGCTAGACTATATAACCCTTTGGCTTTTGTATTTAGTGTCATGGAGAAACCCAGCCACCATCTTAGTTGTTGAATGAACCTAGCTATTATGTTTTATTTATTTGATTTATTTATACATAGCACATGATATTAATAAAAACAATGGTATGCTATTAAAGAAAATTCAGCCCATTTTGTGATCCAATATTTGAATTAAATTTTTAATATCCCCATAACATAACCATGGTATCAGCAAAATACACCTTAGGCTTTTCCTTGCCAGCACTAGTTCTTCTTTTCTTTCTCCCCTTTCATAAAGATATATCTCTTCCCAGCGAAGTTGACTTATTTTCTTCATAAAACCTATATTACAGTGTTTTTCAGCACCATTGATCCACAAATATTCCAAGCTCCTTTCTATGTGTGCTTGCCATCAGGCAAACCTCTCTGGCATCAAAGGCATTTCTCATGTTAACATGAAAGAAAGATAAAATTGGCAAATATTTGTTGTTTTCTTCATGAGTGCAAATGAAATCAGCCTTCTTCCTTTTTCTAAGTTCTCTGTAGCCATCAGAAATCTTAAAAGAAGATTGTGGTTCTTAATGCGAAATGTGTTTTGGAGACGGTTAAAAAAATAAGTTTTGCAATATTTTTCAACCTTTTCTAAATTGCCAGTCAGATAAGAAAGAAAGTATGCTACTTGATTTTTTTTTTCTTTTGCCAAAGTGTCATTTTTAAAATAGCAAATGGATTTATGAATATCTGATTAATCATCTAGTGGGCTTTTTTTTTTCCTCTTCGGGGTTTAATGGGCACTCTGACTTCATAGCAGCTCAGCCAATTGATGTCTGAGAACTTGTAGATAAGAATTACAGTTTTATAATTTATAATTATAGTATAGATCCTGCAATCTTGTAACACTTTTTCTTGATAAATTCAGGATTCAGGAAGAAAATCTGAGTGCTGTTGCCCAAAGTTTTCAAATCCAATTAAACATCAGGAAAAAATGGAAACTCAGTTGCAGAGCATGGACAAACAACAGTTAAAGAGGTGAGTTGGTATATTTCAATTCAAAACAAGGGATGAACTTTTTTTTTTTTACCTAGCACTTTTGTACATACGTAGCACATTATTGGAATCAAAGAAACATTGCAGATTTTTTTTTAATTTCCCATATCTTGCCTTTTTCCAGGGATTGAAAGGAAACTGAGACCATCCCAGTCCATTCCCTTGCATGCATTTATTTACACTTTAACTAGTTCTCGACTATTGCCAATCTCATAGAACTGTTTTATTGCAGGCTTGTAATAGCTACTCTGCTGGTAGCCAAAAGACAATACAGTCGGTTGAAAGTCACCAATCTACTTACTCCTGAAATGATAGCACAGTTTAAAGAGCTGACTTCCATACTTCATGAAGAGTCCCATGGAGCCCTGAAACTTTCAGTTTTGGATGAGCATGATGATGAACCGGATGTGCAACAATTGATGAATCATGATGATTCTTTGGGTAAAGTTCAGAGAAGGGTGAATGTTGAAAGTGCAGACTCATTCAGGTATAGTGAATGCCAACAATATTTGTTAATTACTATTTGTTTTTCTATCATAGCTATTCTCCCTACCAATCTTACTGAAACCAAGTATGCCAGTCCTAAGGTTAATCCTGGAATTCAACCTGCTGAACCAGATGCTGAGCTGATTCCACATGCTGTCTCGAAGACCCCTCACTGCTCAACAAAGAAGAGGAGGAAGGCATCGCAGTCTGAAAGAAGCATTTCATCTAGCCAAAGGGAGCGTGCAAAGCGCCGTCGGAAGGCTTGTCTTTCATCCCAGAAAGTGAATTCTCTGAAGGAATGGTCTGATTTTGCCCAAGTAGGCTGTACCAGCACCCCTCTTGGAGTGAAAACAAAATATTCCAGACCAGTTGATTATCATACTCCATTATATTGCCCATCAACAGTTACTAAGAGTTGCATGCCCCTGGCTCCTTCAACCATTCAGAATTGCTCTCCTCCACAAAACTTAAACATAACTTTTGACCTCTTTGAGAAATCCTGTCCTCCAGTGTTGAAGATCAATACTGTGGAATGCCCTGCTTGGGAAAGTGTCCAGCATGTCTCCAATCATCAGGGTGTGCCACTTATACCTAGGTAGGACCTTCAGAAAGGCAACTGTTTCCAATTATCTTATTTGCAGGGATTTAACCCAGTAGTTCTTGGATTCCAGTGGCCTCTAATAGGGATGGGCAGTATGTTGTCCAACTGTGGTCTCAAACAAATGGCTTTTGTGGAATTCAGAGAATTCCACCAAGAAGTTATAACTGATTTTCAGCAACATTTGCTAAATGTTATGGTGGTGGTACATTGAGCAAAAACTCAGATGACAAGTGTGATATCCTGAATAATATTCAGATGCAGGCTAGTATGTTGTTAGTCACGAAGTCGTGTCTGATCCATCGCAACCGCATGGACAATGTTCTTCCAGGCCTTCCTGTCCTCTACCATCCCCAGAGTCCATTTAAGCTCACTCCAACTGCTTCAGTGATTCCATCCAGCCACCTCATTCTCTGTCATCCCCTTCTTCTATTGCCTTCAATCGTTCACAGCATTAGGCTCTTCTCCAGTGAGTCCCTTCCTTCTCATTAGGTGGCCAAAGTATTTGAGTTTCATCTTCAGGATCTGGCCTTCTAAAGAGCAGTCAGGGTTGATCCCCTCTAGGACTGACTGGTTCGATCGCCTTGCAGTCCAAGGGATTCGCAGGAGTGTCCTCCAGCACCATAGTTCAAAGGCCGCAATTCTTTGGTGCTCAGCCTTCCTTATGGTCCAACTTTCACTTGTAGTCCAACTATATTAGTCATTTCCTAATCCACATTGTTTTCTTCGGATCTGTTGAAGGGGTGAACAAACTGTGAGTAAATGGGAATCTACATTATATGAAATCTACAAATAATATTTGCCTTGTTCTGTATCCAGACAAGAAGAGGCAAGATTTATGGGTTTTGTTTCATTTTGTTGTTTTGCAATGATAAACTGGTTTGGAAACTAATATGCAGTTAGTATGGCTGTAACCAAATTTGGATGGGGCTGGTTCCAGACATCCTATTATTCTAGACCCATGCCAGACTAACATAGTTGCACCTTTCCTTTGTAAATTGTGATCTTACCTCACCTAAAGCTGTTGAAAGATAAAAGATTATGGATAACACTGACACTTCCAGCCAACTTGTTCCCAACTGTTGAATAGTTTGCCTAGGGGTTAAAGAGTATAATTTGCCATAGATATCAGTAAGTTTGTGAGGTACTTTAACTTCTACATGAACAACACGGGTTCCCATTGGTTTTCCACATAGGTTTTGTGGCATGACTCTGTAAAATCTTTGAAAGATAGGATATATAACCTGGCATGTGTGTAAATGCTGATTTAGTTTCTAGTGCTCTCAGTAAAGCATCTCAGCCTGAAAAATCATGTAGCTATTTTTAAAAATCTTTTCCATTGTATGGATTAAATATAATCATATGTATAATGCATAGATTCAAAAACTAATCCCAATAAAAAATAGAGTATTGTTTAAATGCTACTAATTTTTTGGGAAAACATCTTTTATAATATTTTGGTACATTTGAATATAGTTGAGATAAGTTTTCAATTCTTTTCACCTAAGATAAGCTTCATACTTGTCAGTTTCCTGAAATTATGTCCTTAGCATATTCCAGTTTTTAAAAAAAAATGTGTTTTGCACATCAAATCAAACCTTTATGCTGTCATATACCAGCAAAAAATTCCTATATTTGTCCTGTTATCTTAATTAATTGTGACTCTTGTGTTTTATTTGCTGGTCTATAATTGAATAAAAATTTGACTTGAATAGGTTTTCATTTTCTGATGAAATCTTATTATTATGCTATGCTGTCTGGGAAACAGATTTCTTTAATAGAGAGTCACCAAATCCACCTGTGTGATTACCTTCTTTTGTGGATATATTTCAGGGCCTCCATGCCTGTGTTTACTATGAAAGGCTCCTCTATCCCAAGAGCAACTTCGTTGGCTTCCAAAGCATCGTTACAGAAGAGGAGACATACCACAATGTAAAGCCATTCTCAATTTTTGAGATAAGTTTCGTTAATGTGGAAATTACGCCTGGGTAACTTTTGGTGGCAGGGCAAGGATGCCTTTGAGTCAGTGCTGACTAGTGCCTGCAGTTTTCAGGTTTTTCAGAAGGGGTTTGCCATTGGCAGCTTTCCAAGGCTTAGACTGAGAGGGTGACTAGTCCGAGGTCACTCAGTTGATTGTGTGCCAGGATTAGTCTTATATGCTTTAGCCACTACAACAAGCATGCTCTCTAGGTTGATGTTTACAAAGAATAGAATGGACTATGATTACAGCCTTGGGGGCAGGTGATTCCTTGTTTATTATTGAGGAGATAGCAGCTGCTTTTTTGTTAAGCTTACGGGAATCAGTTTTCCACGGGTGCCAGAAATGACATCAGTTTTTGCACCAATCTGAAGTGATATACTTCACTTCAGTCTACAACCTCATTCTTTGCATTCTTGATGTGGTTAAAAAGTAATATAAAACTTTGTCTCGGGGGGTATCACATAAAATAACATCTGTTTACAGGTAGTCCTCAAATTACAGTCGTTTGTTTGCTGACCGTTTGAAGTTGCAGTAGCACTGAAAACAGTGACTGATGACCATTTTTCATACTTATGATGGTTGCAGAATTCACATGGTCACAGGATCAAAATTCAGACACTTGGCAACTGATATTTATTACTGTTGCAGTGTCTGTGGGTCATCATAAGATCACTTTTTTGAATAAGGAAAGTTAATGGGGAAGCCAGATTCACTTAACAATCATGTCACTAGCCTAACAATTGCAGTGATTCACTTAACAGCTGGGGCAAGAAAAGTTGTAAAAAGGACCATTGTCTTGCTTAGTAGTGTAAATTTTGGGCTCAGTTGTGGTTGTAAGTTGAGGACTACCTGTATCTGTTTTTCAGTCTTTTGCTTAAGGGTACATGGAATGTATAGTCCATTCTAATAGATTCTTGGTATGGGAAGCTGTACAAAAATTGATTACATATATTCTAATTGTGTGTAAGAGTAGGCAAATTATTTGGTTGTTGGATTGGGAACTATGTCAAAAAGCTAGGGAACTTATAGAATATTTTTGGGTGCTCTCAGTTATATTGAACTTCAACTTCCATCATCCCTAGCTTCCAAAATATGGCTATAATAAAACTATATTCTCTCTCTTTGCAGTTCTATCTCTCATTTGCCAAGCAGCCGCATTGGTAGGCTCCAGGGTCGTTCTGTAAAGTCTTCACAGGTTGTGAATGCACCAGGTAAATTTGCTTTAGGAAGTTAATGGGCGTAATCTCCCATATTATAATTTCAGTGGTTTTGGGATGGAATTTCAATTGGTAGTGGAAAATAAGAGAAAATGGAATTAATGAAAAAGTTTCTTATTTTAAAGGGCACTTGTTCTATTCTCAAATGAGTGTTTGGAAGCATTGGAGCTGATTTATATTTTCTGTGCATTCATATTTGCAAAAGCATGGAAACTATTGTTAAAATGATAATAAAATCCACATCATGGGTGTAATAAACTGTTTCTGCAATTTCTCTTATTTTCTCAAGCCAAGCTCCCCCCCCCCCCCGCCCCCTTCTTTCAGCTTCAATACTCTTCAGGCTGTATACATTTTTAATCTAGTACTTGGCTGTTACATCAGTTTTTAAGGACATACAGGAATTTCAATAATAGTGCCAATAATATCTTATGAATTGAATGTTTATGCGTATACTGTGTTGAGTACTTATTAGTTGGCCCCTTTTCTAGTTCAAGAAACATTCTAGTTTTATGTGAGGTTGTTTTGTTATTTGTTAAAGGAGTAAGTGCTTTAAAATGGTAGTTGTCATTGCTGGAACAGAAGTAGAGAAAATAATCCCTAGTTATTATCATTTACAGTTTTACCCATGAACTCTCATCTTAATATTTTCCCCCCCTCTGCCCAGGACGTCCATCTGGCATCCCTGCATGGAAATGGCGCTAGAGATTTGTTCATTCCTAGGAACCAGCATTCTGTTGTAGGCTCACTCCATGAAGTTTCTTTCAAGCTTCTACTTGAACATTGTAACATTCTGACATCTTATCTCTTCAGCTTCCTCTATTTTTATTTAATTGTATCTAAATCTGTATATCCACATCTACCTTTTTAATAGCAGGTGTACATTGAATTAACAGATGACAGCTGAGTTGCCATAAATTATTAGGAAACAACAGCAAACCTAAAGTGTAAAGTTTGGTTCAATATTATACAGTATCTTCCATTGTAATAATAATAAGGTGCTCAGCATGTATCTGTTGGATAAAAAGAGCACAGTTTTCAAAACTAGCTCATTCTGGACCAAAATTAATGATTTTATACCAAAGTGAATGATTCTTCGTTTATTCAGATTCTCTGATTAGTTTTTATTATTAATAATACCTCCCCCATGGTGCAATGAGAATAAGTTTGTAAAAGAATGAACTGAACGAACTAGGCTGCCAGGACCACTCTGTAACATTGTACTGTGGATATCCCTGATATTGTATGCCATACAAAAAAAAATTAAAAATCCATTATATTAACCTTGCTATTTGTCTTCCTTTTGCACCAGAATCCAAGTATGGAAGGGCAGGTAGTAAAAAAAGAAACTCTTTCATGGCTCATGGAGAAACTGGAGTCCCAGCCCAGATGACAGCCCTATTTTCAGGAGGGAAGACAGATTATATTCAGTTATTCTTTAAAATAAATGTGGATATTTCCTATCTATGAAACTTTCCGTGTAAAATTTGCTGGAGTCCATTAAAGGCACAGGTGACACAGGTGAATTAGTTAGAATGAATGAGCTGACCAGTCAAGCCCCTTTCTAACGTATGTGTCAGTGCAGTTATTTTAGAGTTAGAGTTGGGGCTAATTGAGAGCCATGCTTTATGCTTCCCTAAAAGTCCCTTGTGTGCATGCAGAAAAGAGAAGAACAAGGAACATGGAATACTTCACAAGGGTTATGTTACAAGGTATAGTGCTCTCTGAGACAGTGACAGCACATCTCACAGAATTTTTCTCGTTCTCACTCTCTTCTTATTAAATACACATCAAGCAACTAAAGTTGTAAGGAGATAAAATAGAAGAAGCTAAAGGATAGTAATCAGTGTTCCCATTTTATAATCAAATCAGATCTTTTTGCAAACTGTCCCAGGCAACAAAGGCAGATGAATAAAGCAAAATGGAATTGATTTGAAAGAAAGTTTATGTCTACAATGAAGAAAACCGATTCTGATCATTTGAGATACTACTGCGTACATCATGTGGCTCAGTTAAATATTCTTTAAATATGATTAGATAGGTAACATTACTATTATCAAACTGTCAAAAGATTTACCGAATACAGATCATAACATTTCTTGAATTTCAGTGCAGGATTTTTACCGAGAGTCTGTATCAGTCATGTTAGCTATTTTCTGAAGGGAAACAAAAACAACTCAATAAACCTTATGTTACAAAATTAAAACAGCATAGAACATAATAGGAACTGCACTGTTCATTATTAGTGAAACAATATGAATCAAAAATAAATACTAACAGAAGCCACAAAATGGTGAGAAATATTGGGGAAAAAGTATAGGATGTTATATTGGAGCGCTTAATAGCTTACTGTGACAACATAGCTTGTGATCAACTGCAGACATGATATTCTTCCGATTAAAATCGGAATTCCGATTTTTTTGGGAATCGCCCCCCCTTCCCCCCCTTCTTCTCCTCCTTCCCCTCCCCTCGGAGGCCCCGAGTCAGGAGTTGCTACCGCTGGCACGGCTCTGCGTGGCTCCAGTCCCGCGTTGCCTCAGGAAGGGAAAGGCAAAACCAGGAGCCGCTGCTGCCGTTGCAAAGCGCCGCCGCGGCTCTTCCTTTTTGCCTTTCCCTTCCTGAGGCAACGCGGGACTGGAGCCACGCAGAGCCGTGCCAGCGGTAGCAACTCCTGACAGCCCCAGCCGGATACCTGAGCGGAGCCCGGGCGGGCGGGCGGTGCGAGCGGAGGCCGCTGAGCGGCAGGAAAAGGGAGCTGGGCAGCGATTTCTTGGCGCGTGGTGGTGGGGGGTCTCTTTTGGCCGGCCCCGATTTTTTTTTCAGAGGGGAATATCATGCCTGCAACTGGCCAAACACAATCAGAGGGGAAACTAAGGCAAGGATTAGGTTCATTATCTCGAAGAGTAAGAATGAGTTTATTGAACTATGCACTAAGTATGGTATAGAAGGCCATCCTAGCAGACAAGGAAGACCATTTATTATTGTTTCACGTGTGGCTTTACTCCTGATATTCTCCATTAAGAACAGCATATATTGATATTCCAATTTGTACTTCACAACAAATATTCTGGTACATTTAACATTAAACAAAGCTTTATTGAGTTTATCAGCTTTGATGTAAATACTGGAGAACAGCTGAAATGCAAATTATCAGCTTGGAAAAAAAGGAACATTCCTCCTGATTGCAGAGAGCAATTGATTGATAACAGCTTTAATCTGCCAGAGAAAATAAAAGATGTTCAGGCCTGCATTGTGTTCAAATATCAACTTATTCTACTTCTTCTGATTCTCTACATATTAATGCTGCACCAACCTATATTAATATTTTCAACTGTATATTTTGTTTATGGACAACAACTTTTTTGTTTTTCTGGACTAGTTCTTTGAAATGAATAGAATAAAAAATATATACAGTTCAGACATACTAATTAACTGGATGGATACTTTTATCCATCCACTCACAGAATCGTTTGGGTATTCTTCAAGCAGTTGAATGTACTCCCAGATTAAACTTGATACTTGAAGCTCTGTCAAATCCAGAAGCATTGAAAAAACTTTGGCTCAGTTCATGCCTTTTGTCAACAAGCTTTTAGTACAAGGTGTTTTCAGGTACTTATGACAGAAACAAGATTTTACAAGCCAGATAAATCTGTTCTGAATCAAAAATAGGTCTCATTGCATATATTATTGAAAAAGTAATACAACTGAGAGATTGATGGCCCAACATGTTTCAGGTAGCATATCTTGCAGCAGAAAGCATGGGAATTGGCAATAATTAACAAGCAGAAAGTTGGAAAACAATACATGTGGATCCTAGCAAGTGCTGTGTTTATCTTCTGATGAATTTTTATTCAGAATGATGTTTTTTTATATTAACTGCAGATTGAAATGAGATTCAAAGCAACCAACATGTTTTGCATTCCATTCAGCTCTAAAATATGTGCAATTGGAGCAATTGATTACAATTCTATAAGAACAGAAAGAAGTTTCTAAATCATCTGCTTTTCAAACATCTGAGATCTTTCTGAATATTTTTTTTTCTTGGGGAATGTTGCAACTGGAAAAAGAATAATCCAATCTTCTTGTGAGAAAAATAAAACTTTGCCTCATTAATCTTATAAAAAAGATTTACAAAAAAACCAAGTAGCCCATAAGTAATTTTTAGCAGAAGGCATCTTTTGAATTGGGCAGATTGGAGCAATTGGGTAGATAGAACAATAGCTTTAAATTGAATTGATCTATCAGTTTACTGCCTTATTGGTCCATTAGAACAACAACAACAAAATCCTATCTGGATATTACTATTTTGAAAAGCAATAGTTAAAAAACGTTATACAATAGTCAGCAATGTATAGTTGAGTAAAGCGGAATCCTTTATGCACAAGACTGTATATGGGATGGGGTACAGGCAAGGATCAGCAATTTGTATCAAGTACCATTTGACAAATTTCTGAGCTCTGAAACAAACTATGATGCAGCTGATCCTGCTACTTTCTGCAAGGCAATTTAATCCCTTTTTCATGAAACACCCGTTTGCCCCATCTCTCCCCATCATGCTTAGACCCTACATGTATGTAGTATTTCTATAAGAAAAAGGAAATGCAGAGGTGAAGGGTTAAGTAGTCTTTCCTACACATTTCATTTCCCAGCTTTTCATTTATAGTAAAATATCGGGGGGCAGGGGAATATAAGGCATTGCCATATTTAGCTTGCCATCAAAAAACATAGAGATGTGCAATTGATATCTTACCAAAATTGGGAAATAATGCAGGTATCAATTAAAGACTCCCTAAAATTTCATTTTCCAATACCAAGAAAATTCAATCTGCTAGAAAATGATGCATTATTAAAGGTGCATTTATGCTACAAAATGCAATTTTTTTTTACTATTTTAGAAAACTCATAGTGTATTATGAATCTGCTGACCAAATAAAATGCTCTTATTTCAGTAAAGGTAAAGGTAACAGTTCTCCTCGCACATATGTGCTAGTCGTTCCCGACTCTAGGGGGCGGTGCTCATCTCCGTTTCAAAGCCGAAGAGCCAGTGTTCTCTGAAGACGTCTCCGTGGTCATGTGGCCGGCATGACTAAATGCTGAAGGCAAATGGAATGCTGTTACCTTCCCACCAAAGTGGTCCCAATTTTTCTACATTTCTACATGCTTTCAAATTGCTAAGTTGGCAGAAGCTGGGACAAGTAATGAGAGCTCACTTATTTCATTAGGGAGAAGCTAAAATTTGACTGTCTATATGAATATCCTAGGGCAGGGGTAGGGAAACTTGGCTCTTTTACCCTGTTTCTCCAACAATACGGCCTCCCCCAATAGGAAGTCCCAGCATGTTTTATAGGCATGAAATGAAATTAAGCCCCTCCCTCCAAATTAAGGTCTATATTAAAACATGCGAAATGGGGAAATGGCGGGGGGGCTTGCTGTTAGGAAGCACTTTTGTTGCACACCCGGATATGGTGCTGCCTGCGTTGACCCCGATACGAAGTGCCCCACCAACGCCGAGGTCAACATCCAAGCTGTCGCCGCCCACCTGCCCGAAGATGCAAGGGGGGGAGAATTAAGTCACCCCCGAAAAGACGGCCTAGCCATTTTTTCAGGGCTCAAAAAAAAAAATAAGACCCGGCCTTATTATATGAGAAACACGGTATCACTTATGGACTTCAACTCCCAGAATTCCTGAGTGAGCCATAAAAGGTTCCCCATCCCTGGCCTACTGGTTTTTCAGTTGTGGGGGAAATCAATTTTTGACTTGAATGGGACTGTTTAATATACAAATGTAGGACAATACATTCTGGGAGTGAAGTCCATAAGTGATAGAAGAGCCAAGTTTCCCTACCCCTGTCCTAGGGAGAAACCAATGTGAAAGCGGGAGGGTTATAGAAATGTTCAGGGGCATCCATGGAAAGGAGTCAGAACACTCAACATGGCAGCTTCATGACTGAAGCTCTGCTCCTTTTAATGTCTCATGATTCATGTATAAAGGTTATGGAACAACTATCATGCAATCATGGCCACCATCTTCACTTTTTGAGCTACCCCACCAAGAGCCCTTGGAGATGTTGCAACTGCAATTGCAGAACAATGGACTCTTCGTGGTTTATAATCCAGATACTCCACCCGATACTTTTTTCTGTCACAAACAAAAAACAAGTCTAACTTGATCAATAAGTAATGGTATTATTTTAGAACAT